TCCCACATACAGCAACTAGAAGGATGTGCAGCTATGACATACAACTATCTACTGGGGCTTTGGGGGAAAAATAAATAAATAAAATTATTAAAAAAAAAAAAAATCTGTTCTTTAAGATTACACCTAACATTTTTTTTGTGTAAAAAATGTCATTTCTTTTATGAAATTATGGTCATAGTAGATGTTACTTTCTAAAATTGTCCTCACCAAAATTTTTTTTAAAAATTGCTTTTTAAAAAAATTTTATCTCCAAAAGGTTTTGCTAATGGGTGAATTCCAAGTCCGAGCTCTGAACTGGGCCTTATCTCTCTTGAGAAGGAGCTTGCATTCCACCTCTAGCAGCCGTCATCCTCTTCCAGACTTTGTGGTGTGTAGTTTTAGAACATTCTGAGCTGGTGGTCTCTGAGCAGGCTGGGACCCATGTCTGCCCTGCCTTTTAGTGTCCAAGTGGTGTGGGTAAGTCCTTTAACCCCTCTGCACCTCAGGCTCCTCATCTGTAAAATGGGTCAAGAGAGGTCACCTTTTAACCTAATGGGTGACAAAGACTCTCTCCTTGACCTAACTCTAGTCTGTCTTGTCTAAACTCTCAAGGCCCTGACCTTGGGCTCTATCCTTGAGCCATTAGTCCAGTTTTAGCAAGAGTCCTGCTGGGTCAATTTAGTGGGAAATCCCCCACCCACCGTATCTGATCAAATTCCTCATCCCCCACCCTCGATATCTTATCACTCTGGCTTGCCTTCAGCAAGAATCCTGTTAAGTCGGTCTAGCAAGAATCCCATTAGCCTTGATGTTTTATCTTAGCAATTTTCCATATGCTGATTTCCACCCTGCTCTTCAGCTATAAATCTCCACTTGTCCTTGTTGTATTCAGAGTTGAGCGAGATTTCTCTCCCTTACTACAAACCCCATTGTAGTAGTCCCCTTGAATAAAGCCTTCTTTTTAACAAGTGTTATGAATAATTTTTTCTTTAACATGGGACACCTGAGAATTACATGTGCATATGCATAGCTCTCTGTGCCCCATTCCCTGGACACTAGTTATATACAAGTTCACCCTTTTCATTTTCCCTTGATAAACCACACCTGGATGCCAGGTGAGTTAAATTAATGCTATTTTAACAGTGGTTCTCAAACTGGAGTGGGCATCAGAATAACCTCCAGTGCCTGTTAATCACAGGTTGCCAGGCCCCACCCTAGAGTTTCTGATTCAGCAGGTCTAGGGTGGGAGTTAAAAACTGCATTTCTGTTAAGTTCCCAAGTGATGCTGCTGCTGCTGCTGATCCTGGAACCACACTTTAAGAACCACTGTAGGATAAGAACTTTGAATCCACCAGAATTTAGTAATCAACCAATCAATCAGTCAATCATTCACAAACTACACTCTAATTATTTGTAATAAATTACTTTCTACACTTCGATTCAACTGCTGAATTAGTGATCCCCTAAGGGCTTTCCAGTTAAAAAATTCTATGATGTTTAAGTGAGGTGTAGGGGGAAGAGGGAGAATCTCCCTCTGCCCTTTCCCTTAAGGTTCTTCTGGCTGGCCAAACAATCAACAAGACAGGTTAGCAGGAGAAAATAATACCAAGTTTAATAACATGTATACATGGGAGAAGCTGAGAAATGAGCAACTCGTCCTTCTGTCTAAGCTGCTTGCTTAAGTGTTGCAGCTAAAGGCGAGGAGCGTGTTGGGGGTGGGTAGTGGCCTGGGACTTCAGAGGGCAGGAGAACAATTCTTTTTGGGGTCATCTATAGATAATGTGGTCAGGGAGAGACAGAGTTTTTGATAAAAGGGGCTTGGTGCCCCTCCCATTGTAACATCTATTTTACATTATCTTTATAGCCATCATGATAGAAGATCTGTTCTAGGAAGGAGCCACCATGTCAAATTCTTTAGGCAGTTAGTGGGGGAGGTCAAATGTCCTTCAGAGAAAACAATCAAGGTAAAGAGATATATTTCAGGGTGGCCAAATCTTGATCTCCCACAGAGGCAAGACAATGGGTCTTGATTCAACAATTGAAGCCTGACTGCTTCTGCAGTCATATTCTCTTTCAACTCTTCCCACTATCCCCTCCACCCAGCCTAAAGACTGTAACGCTCAGTGTCATAGGGACTAAGGATGGCACACTGTGTTTTAGTTTCCTGCATGAATACAGAATGGAGTGCTCTTCTCCAAGTCTTGACAGTTGTGATGAGAATTTTCTATTTTTCTCAGAGATCTCTCTAAAGGGATCAGATGTACATTCTGGCTCTTCAGAGGCAGGAGGGAGGTCATTCCAAGACCAGCAAATGCTGTAATTTGCTTTTAAGAATGTCCAAGACAGGCACCATGGTGATGTATTGCTCTTTTCTCTGATAAAACTTACTGGTCATTTTAAGTTGAAATCCAAAAGGAACCAAAGAAAATTTAAATTCTATATATAGGCTTTCCTAACAGTGATGTATTTTCTGTGAAAGCATTTCAATCAATTGTTCTTTGGTTTTCTTTCTGTGCTGATAGCGCTCTCACAAAGATGGTGAACGTTCCGAAAACCCGGCGGACTTTCTGTAAGAAGTGTGGCAAGCACCAACCCCACAAAGTGACACAGTACAAGAAGGGCAAGGATTCTCTGTATGCCCAGGGAAAGCGGCGTTATGACAGGAAGCAGAGTGGCTATGGTGGGCAGACTAAGCCGATTTTCCGAAAAAAGCCTAAAACTACAAAGAAGATTGTGCTGAGGCTAGAATGTGTTGAGCCCAACTGCAGATCTAAGAGAATGCTGGCTATCAAGAGATGCAAGCATTTTGAACTGGGAGGAGATAAGAAGAGAAAGGGCCAAGTGATCCAGTTCTAAGCTTCATCTGTTGTTTTATTATGAAGACAATAAAATTTTGAGGTTATGTTTAAAAAAAAAAAATTGTTCTTTGGAGGCTGTTTGTCCAAAAGAAAGAAGAAATATTTCTCTGGGAGTTTTGGAAGTCTATCAGCTTTATGTTCTGCCAGAGCCAGGATAAAAACTTAGTAGCATAAGGAGTGAGGAGTACACTGGGCAGCTGGCCCCTTGCTCCAGGTCCAGTTTCTGTTAGAAGGAGGCTCTGAAAGGTGCATTCACACAGTGGAATGCTTTATCCCCTCAGGCTTTTTTACAACATACCCACCACCATGCCTTTCTAGTGGGAATTGATTATAAGAATAGTCAACTCATGGTTACTCATTTTTAGTTAAAAAAAAGCTAACATGTATCAAGGTTCTCTATGTGGTTGGCATTTTTATAAGGACTTTCCTGGTATTAATTCATTTAATCCTTACAACAGTCCCATAAGTACTATTATTATCTTCATTTTATAGACAAGGAAACTGAGGCACAAAGAATTAATTTGCCCAAGATCACACCATTTAGTAAGAGGTAAAGATAGGATTCAAACCATTTCTGGCCCAAGAGTCACATTCTATGCTGTATTTTTTTTTTTTTAACAGAAAAATAACCTTCTAGATTAATTAAATCTATAATTCAAAAGTTATATTGAACCACTTGAAAATAAGAAGCTGTTATGGGTTGAATTGTGTCCCCCCTAAAAAAGATATGTTGAAGCCCTAGCCCCTAGTACTCCAGAATGTAACCTCCTTTAGAAATAGGGTCATTGCACATATAATTAGTTAAGATGAGGTCATACTGGAGTAGGGTGGGCCCTTAATCCAATATGACTGGTGTCCTTATAAGAAGGCGGCCATGTGAAGACAGAGATAACGCCATGTGACTACAAAGGTAAATATTGGAGTTATGCAGCTGCAAGCCAAGGAACACCAAAGGCTGCCAGCAAACCATCAGGAGCTAGGAAGAGGCAAGGAAGAATTCCCCTACAGGTTTCAGAGGAAATGTGGTCCTGCCAGCCGACTGACACCTTGATTTCAGACATCTAACCTCCAGAACTATGGGGACAATAAATTTTTTTTATTTTAAGCCACCCAGTTTGTGGTACTTTGTTATGGCAGTCTAGGAAAGTATTATAGAACTAATGCATTTATTCTCCGTTTTCCTCAATTCTCCCTCCTAACTTCCAGCAGCAGTGCTACAGAACAGCACATCCACTTGGTAGGACGAGAAGCAAGACTCTGAATTGTTCATTCATTTGGAGCCTGGCATGATTCCTGACACATTGTAGGTACTTAAGAAATGTTTGTTGATTAAATGAATTCTTCCAACATTTACTAAGGGACTACTCTTTCCCAGGATTATCTAAAAAGGAGACAAGTCTTGGGCGGGCCCTGTGGCTTAGCAGTTAAGTGCATGCGCTCCGCTACTGGCGGCCCGCGGTTCGGATCCTGGGCGTGCACCGACGCACCGCTTCTCTGGCCATGCTGAGGCCATGTTCCACATACAGCAACTAGCAGGATGTGCAGCTATGACATACAACTATCTACTGGGGCTTTGGGGGAAAAAAAAAAAAGGAGGAGGATTGGCAATAGATGTTAGCTCAGAGCCGGTCTACCTCAGCAAAAAGAGGAAGATTAGCATGGATGTTAGCTCAGGGCTGATCTTCCTCACAAAATAAATAAATAAATAAAATAAAAATGAGACAAGTCTTAAAAAATCAAGAGTATGCAATGAGTAACATTCCTTCTCTCAAATCTACGGATGACTTGAAAAATACTAGACACCAAAGTGTCTTCCAGCATCCCTAAGACAAGTAAAAATGACTGTGTTAAGATTTGGTTTCTGGGCCTCCTGTTCCATCCATCTCTCTGTCCTTTTTTTTTTTTTTTTGGCTGCAAAAAGCTTTATTGTTTCTATTTGGTCCACGGTTTGGGAGAGGGCTCCAGGGTGGTTAGAAAGCTACCTAGTGGCTGCAGGGAGCGGCTCAGGCAGAAGCTCTGACACCAAGGGGATGCCAGGCCGGCCCCTCAAAGGCTGCTGGACTGTGGAGGCTCCTAGTCATGCTTGAGGGTGAGCCTTTCGAAGAGATACTCGCCCAGCCCAGCCTGGGGGCCAGCGAGCCAGTGAATGTTGGTCAGGTGGTCGCCCATCTTCTTGATGAGTTTCACTTCCTCCTCTAGGAAGTGGTTCTCCAGGAAGTCACAAAGATGGGGGTCTGAGTGGGCAGAACCCAGAGCACGCAGATCCAAGAGGGCCTTGTTCAGATTCTTCTCCAGGGCCATGGCAGCTTCCACAGCCTGCAGGGTGTTGCCGCACTCATCCTGGGACGGCTTCTGCAAGTCCTGGAAGAGGGCGCGGCCGCCGCGCTGGTTTTGCATCTTCAAGAGACGCTCCGCGCCCTCGCGCTTCTCCTCCGCCAACTCGCGGGAGAAGTGGCACACGCCCTCCAGAGCCACATCGTCGCGGTCGAAATAGAAGCCCAGTGAGAGATAAGGTGTACGAGGCCCGCAGATACATGTTGACCAGGCGGTTGACCGCGGCCTCCACTTCGGCAGAATAATTCTGACGAATCTGGGAGCTCATGGTTGATGGCAGTAAGGAGCTGAGCTCAAAAAATCGGTGTTGGTTGGTCCCGCCGGAGGTAGAGGATGGCTGAGCTGGTCCGAAGGCTACGACTGGAAGAGAGGTTGGAAGGTGGTCGGAGGCTGGAAGAAGGGGGCGTCCCTGGGTCTGTTCCGTCCAAACACTGTTGAAGCAAGAGACAGATCCGGGGGACGCCGAGCGCGCTGCCTCTCTGTCTATTTTTGAGTAATGCTTCACCTCTTTTCCATTTTCTTGCCCCTCTCTGGTTGGATGTGCTAATGAATGGAGAAAGGTATGAAAAGCAGAGAGCAGGAGAGAGAAGTACAACCCCCAAACCTGATCATGATAATAATTGAGAGGATAATTGAGAGGACACCACTGACAAACTGTAGAAAAGGCACCCTGAACATGTTTTAGACATTAGTATCTAAGGAAGATACTAATACATTAGGGTGACTAATGAAGGCTTATAAAGGTAATTTAAAAACGGTTTGCCCAAAGACAAAGAATAAAATGATTATTCTGAAAGTGAACTTAAACATGATGAATGAAAAGAGAAAATAAAAGTATATATAATATAGTCTTATTTTTACAAAACAATGACAAAAATTCCTATGTATACATGTGCGTGTAAAACTGTCTAGGTACATTTACATATATTTAAGATTGTACGAACATGGAGAAAGAGGTGGAAGGATATTGTATTAGTTTCCTATCATTGCTATAAAAAATTGTCACAAATTTGGTGCCCTAAAACAACAGAGAGTAGCTAAAAATTCATAGAGATAGAAAGTAGAATGGTGGTTTCCAGAGGCTGGGGAGAGAGGGGAATGGAGCTGTCATTGAATGGGTATAAAGTTTCAGTTTTGCAAGATGAAAAGTTCTGGAGATTGATTGTGCAACAATGTAAATGTACTTAACACTAAATGTACACTTAAAAATGGTTAAGATAGCACATTTTATGTTATGTGTATTTTACTACAATTTTATTTTTAAAAGCTTTAAATCTTTGAGGTAGGTATTAATTTTAGCCCTTTTTTGGAGGAAAATGAGGCACTGGAACTTGCCCAAGATCACAATGATAGTAAATTGGCAGAGCTGGGATTAAAATCCAGGACAGTCTAACTCTAAAGGCCTTCCTCCTAATTGTTATGATATATAAAAGGTAAAATAAATAGTCTCTACCTATTTATAAAACAGAAAAGACACCCCCAATCCCAGAACGTAATCCCCTTCAATTCTGGAGGCCAGAAGTCTGAAGTCAGCTTCACTGGGCCAAAATTAAGGTGTCAGCGGGGCTGTACTCCCTCTGGAGTCTCTGGGGAGAATTTGTTCCTTGCCTCTTCCAGATTCTGTTGGCTGCTGGCATTCCTTGGCTTGTGGCTCCATCACTCCAATCTCTGCCCCCATGGTCATATTGCCTTCTCCTCCTCTGTGTGTGTCAAATCTCCCTCTGCTTCTCTCATACTAGGATCCTGTGATTGCATTTGGAGCACACCCAGATAATCCAGGATAATGTTTCCATTTCACTATCTTTAACTTAATCAAATCTGCAAAGACCCTTTTTCCATGTAAGATAACACTTACAGGTGCCAGGAATTAGGACTTGCTATCTTTAGGGGGCCATTATTCACCCTACCACAGATACATACTACATAATTAACATGGGGAGGGGTAGTGTGGTAGCTACCCTTCAAAATGGGCCCCAATGATCCTTGCTTCTTGATATTCATGCCTTTTTGTAGTCTATTTCCACACTGATTGAGGGCCATCTGTGTGACAAACATAATAAGACAGAAGTGACAGTGTGTGATTTCCGGACTAAGTCATAAACAGTGTTGTAATTTCTGCCTTGTCTTGGATAGCTTGCTCTGAGGGAAACCAGCTATCATGTGAGGACACTCAAGCAGCCCCACGGAGAGGCTCATATGCAGAGGAACTGAGGCCTCCCACCAACAACCAGCACCAACTTGCCAACCATGTGAGTGTGCCACTTGGAAGCAGATCTTCAAGCCCTGGGCAAGTCTTGAATAATGACTGCTTTCTCAGAACTGCCCAACTACTCAGCCAAGCTTCTCCTGATCCACAAAAGTTAAGAGAGAGAAGAAATGCTTATTGTTGTTTTAAGTCATTAAGTTGTAAGGTAATTTGTAACATAGATAGTGATGTGGGAGGAGAAACCAAGCCAAACAAACAAACTATACTGAAAAAAAACTCCTCTTTGTACCCATGCATTTAAGTAAAATTATGTATTTAAAAAAATTTCGCAGAGAATATTTAGGACTTATATGATATTAATCTCGGAGAAAAAGAAATGGATTTGAGTGGCACATGGCATTCTACATTTCTGGGAGCAGAGAGGAAAGAGCCTGCAGCTTTGTTGTGGTTACCCTGCATCTTCTTATACTGGGTAGTATAATTAATACCTATTGTTATTGCTTCTTCAGAATGTATTCTCC